ATAAATTTTTGGGGGTACAGAGGCTTCTTTATCCCACCCAAAATTTTCAGTAGTACACCTCTGACATCATCTAGTTACCGGATTATGTGAATTGTTCAATTTAGAGACTTTTATTGCACTTCAATTTTTTCCGAGAAACGAACCGTTATCGAAATAAATAAGCATATCCGTCCTAAAACATGTTAAGTTTGTCTACTAGTCTAAGATCCGAACCTAAATCGACCTTCACCGAGCTGATAATAGAACGAAATATATTTTATCATGAATTTAGTATATTAGAAAACATATTAAAAATGGGTTCGCTAAAAAAATCCTGGGCAGACTATTTTTAAATATTTTTCGAAAAATGATTTTCAATTAAATGTTGCAACATCAGGATAATAAAAAAATTTTGTCCTGACTGAAAGTATAAAACGTATAGAATGTGCAGCCGTTGGGTTGTCTACTATTTACCTGGGCGAACTACTGGGTTGTCAGGTAAACACAGGTATATCGATGCCAGTTACTTTCACTGGATTGGATAATTTAAAGAAATTTATATCATCATAAGCGCTGTTTAATTGCGAACACGTTGATATAGGGTTGTCTGCGAAAATTCCGGTCCTATTAGGGGTTTGCGAATTTTAAAGATTTTAATTTCAACGCGCGTGGAAGTGTGTGACAGAGAGATCCGAGGTAAGTATACTGTGTAATAATAAAGGACCCAACATCGCAGTCGCTTGTGATGGGACCCTGAATAGTAGAAAGTGTGCGAAGTCAAATCCTGAAAACTATGGTTGGCATTTTGATGATTTCTTAAAACCAACAGGTTTTATCGGAGATCAAACTCCTTTGAAAATCCAGGACATTGTCGAAATGGAAGAAAATGAGGAAGAATCTAATGAATCAGACGAATTCGAGAGTCAAAATGATACTTCTGATGAATCAGATATTGAATAGAAAATATTTATTAGAATTTATTTTTCATTAATATTATTTTTGTATTTATACTGTTTTTTAATAAAATTTCAAATCGTAATACAAGATGTCTAGTCTATCTTTTTTGTTATTTCTTAATTTAAATTTTTGGCGGTCCACTTTGTTTCTATTTCCAGCAAAAGAGCAAAAAAATTTCGAAGTAAGTAATTGATATTTTTATTGTCTATTATAGATTATAGATATATTATTATGGTTATAACGCAATATATTGATATTATATTGTTTTTATATATTAGTATTATATTGAATATATTTAATTATTATGTAGTTAATTAATTTTTTTTTGCTACTGAAATACCAGTTGCTCCAAAATAACACGCACTGTTTACTATATGAAGGGTAGTAGTGGTACCTCTACCCTCCATAGTTTACACACCGAGCATGCGCACTTTCTACTATTCAGGGTCCCATCACAAGCGACTGCGATGTTGGGTCCTTTATTATTACACAGTATACTTACCTCGGATCTCTCTGTCACACACTTCCACGCGCGTTGAAATTAAAATCTTTAAAATTCGCAAACCCCTAATAGGACCGGAATTTTCGCAGACAACCCTCTATATCAACGTGTTCGCAATTAAACAGCGCTTATGATGATATAATTTTTTTTAACTATCCAATCCAGTGAAAGTAACTGGCATCGATATACCTGTGTTTACCTGACAACCCAGTAGTTCGCCCAGGTAAATAGAAGACAACCCAACGATGACCCAACGGCTGCACATTCTATACGTTTTATACTTTCAGTCAGGACAAATTTTTTTTTATTATCCTGATGTTGCAACATTTAATTGAAAATCATTTTTCGAAAAATATTTAAAAATAGTCTGCCCAGGATTTTTTTAGCGAACCCATTTTTAATATGTTTTCTAATATACTAAATTCATGATAAAATATATTTTGTTCTATTATCAGCTCGGTGAAGGTCGATTTAGGTTCGGATCTTCTACTATACACTTCGCATAGATTTTATTCTTGGAAAAAATTCTGCCAACTTTGAAAACTAATAACAAAACCTTTTCGTTTCTACCCTTTATATCTCCGCTACTGATCCAGTCGTAGTTTTAGTAAAATTTATTGCATTTTCTGCGAGTCATCCAATAATAAAATCGAAGGGAAACAATAGAGGCAGAATTAAAATGTTTTTAGAACGGATATGCCTATTTATTTCTAAAACGGTTGGTTTCTCGAAAAATATTTAAAAGCAAAAAAAACGTGAAATTGAACGACATACCTAATGAATTTCTTAATTGCAAGATGTCAGAGGCGTACAACGAAAAAGTGTGTGGGGGATAAGTAAGCCTCTACCCCCAATAAACGTATCACCCTGTAGATTTTGAAAATCTATAAAATGCTTGAAATGATGATCTTTTAGAAAGTATCAACCACACAGAATTTTTACTTGATATCTTCAAAAATGAGCGAGATATATTAATTAATAGAAAAAGATAATTCAACTTCAACCCTCTGTAGCTCCGTTTCTGATCGAGATCGGACTCATGTTTACATAAACTTTTTTTGATAAAAATAATCAGGTCTATATCACCCATTTCAGTTTGTGCCTTCAAAACTGAATCACGCTGTATAACTTGAGAAGAAGATGCATGGTTTTTGTGACATATCATTAAATGCTTTCAATAGCTGGGATGTATTGAGATGAAACTAGATCATCAAATCTATAATAATGTTTTTGTGAATCATCCTATATAGTGACGTTAATTGGACGGCATCTAGTTCCTAGAATTCAAGTTACAAATAAATCTAAATGTTTGAAATTATATAGGTATCGAAAATAACCCTAAGCTATATAGTTATTTGTGTTGTGGAACATATCAAAAATTGTAATGTGCTTTTGAATATATTGAAGTTCAATGGATGAATAAACCATGTAAACATATGTAGATTTTTGGCAATTTTACCCAAAAATATTTCATTCCATTCCCTCCTACAAATTTTACAATAAAAGGTTTCCAAGTGCTCATCAGTTCTACAGATACAGGGTGATGAAGTTAAGAAGTTAATAGCTTCAGAACTTTGCATTTTTTTACTTTGATATTTGTTATATGATGGTTTCATCTGAAATTAGGAATTTTCTCCAATTCATCTGAATCCCTGTTCAGTTTAGTTTAATTTTACATTGGCATTTTTTATCATTTTCAATATTATCAATATAGGAATCATGTTTTTCCAGATTATGAGTTTTGTATAACTCTGTATCTGAAAAGACATGGAAAGTAAGAGATATATCTCCGGAAATAATTGAAAATTTTCCAATTTTGTTGAGCATAAAATAGTGCAATTTGCCCTAATCCTACAGGAATTGGTATCACCCTGTATTTTAGACCAAGGGGTGAACCACCTTGGAATAATAATGTACATACATGTGGGATTCCAGTGAAATTCCAGGGGGATTCTGGTGTACAGGTTTTTCAAACCTGGTTTACCCCTTGTTTTAACTTGTGTTAAACACATTCAAAAAAACCTGACTCCCTTGCTAGGGTAGGTAGAACACTGCAAAATAAGTTGGGTTTGCTCAGTGAAAAAATGTCGTAACGGCATGTGTTTTCAAGATACAAGGTGTTGAAAAAATGTTTTTTTTACACATTTTTCATGATTATGTCCAAACTACTGGCACCATTGTAATGAAATTTTGTATGGGTGTTCCTTGATATCTGACATACATCGCATGGATTTGTTTTCATATCTGACTCTCATAGACGGCGCTAGTTACACGGTTCGTACCGAGTAGTTTTTAGAACATAACATTTTGAGGTTAGATTTTTCAATCCAAATATGATATGAACTTGAACATCATTCAATTTTACACCAAAAAGGCACTCTTGGTGAAAGTCGATACAATGTTCCGTTTTCGGAATATTTCGATTTGAAAATAATGGAGTAAAAGCTGATGCTGGTATAAAATGAACTTTATTGAATTCAATTACCTATTTATTCAAATTCATGCAACAACAATAAGATCATTCTTGTACTGGAGTCATTGATGGAACAAAGAATCATAAATAGAAAATTGAAAGATATTTGACTATAAACATGAAATATTGAATCAGTTAGAGTAACTGTTCAAAATGTCCTACGTTTCCTACGTTTCGACGAATACATAGATTCTATATCCTTTTCTTCATTTCTTGAGAATGTATTATTCTTTTAAACAGTTGAGAATCAACTGTTAGGTCATTTAAGTGATTATGTCTTACAACTCTCGACGTGTATTTTCCTATAAAGCATAAATTTTCTGCTCAAGATACAACAAAACTGTGTAATCCATGTTCTTAGTCAAATCTGTTTTGATGTTATTATTGTGATTCATTGTTGAATCAATGAGTTAAGAATCAGAAATGTATTGTAGTTTTCGGTTTTCAATAAATTGGTGATAATTTTTCATAATATTCACTCTAAAATACATAGCTTTCTTTATATCAGCAACAGTTATCACCTCATCATTTTCAAATCTAAATATTCCGAAAACGGAACACAGTATTGAGTTTTACCAAGAGTACCTTATTGGTGTGGAATTGAATGATGTTCAAGTTCACATCAAATTTGGATTGAAAAATCTAACCTCAAAAAAGTTATGTTCAAAACTACTCCGTACGAACCGTGTAACTAGCGCCCTCTATGAGAGTCAGATATGAAAATTGAAAACAAATGCATGAGATGTGTGAGATTCCAAGAAACATCCATACAAAATTTGATCACAATGTTGCTAGTAGTTTAGACATAATCTTGAAAAATGTGTGAAAAAATTATTTTTTCAACACCTTGTATCTTGATAATGGATGCCCTTATGAAATTTTTTTACTGAGTAAACCCAAATTATTTTGCAGTGTTCTACCTGCCCTAGTTTGGGAGTTAGGTGTTTTTGGAACACCCTATCAAAAGTAAAAACTTTCAAACAACTGGAAAATTAATACAACTGACAATTCTAAACTGAAACACAGAGGAGAAATAAGAAATCACAATTTATATTTGAATTATGATGTAAAAACAAAGAATTTTACCTCGAATTTTACTGTCACCTTAGAACAACTTCATGTTTGAACTGATCCTCTAGGAATATAACTTTATCAGATCTGAAAAGTGGTTCTTTTTCTCCAAACCACTTATCCATATTGAACTCTGGAAAGAATATTTTTATTTCTCTTTCAGCAGATTGCTCAGAATCAGATCCATGAGTGGCATTTCTAGTGTCTGATAAGCCATATTGCCCCCTTATAGTGTTAGCAGCCTCAAATTGAGCTTTGAAAACTTTTGTGGGCCCCATTAATCTTCTCCAATCTGCTATTGCATTTTCTTTGGTTAAAACTAGAATGTCACTTGGTCCACTAGTGATAAAAGTTAGAAGTCTATTATAGAAAAACTTATGTTGATGTTCATAATAAAAGTCTTCTGCTTCACAAATGCTAATTGTTTTTCTTTTGTACAAGACAATTTTGAAGTTTGAAGACAGTATCAGTTCTTTGATTTTGGTGCAGGAAACTGGGTTTTTAATGATGTGTGGCTTGATTATCGCCATTGTGAGTTGCCAAATCGCCATAGTCAGAAATCTAAAAGAATAAACAGCTGAACTTTTCCACAGTTTCCCAAATTATGAAGTAGTTAACTATTCTGACGATCTAATCATTCTGAATGTAGAAGGACAAAATGCAAGAGTTAGGGTAGCGAGTGGGGTGGAATCTCATCAGATTGAAAATAAATCTATAGATTTTTACAATTTTTTGTTCATTTTTCCCCGTGACTCCTAACCTAACCCTACTTGGATCTTACACCTAACCGTCCTAACCCTAGAGTCCCTAGATTTTAGATTTATGTTGAGTCTATTTTTTTGGAAGTAAACGCAAAGCGCTCATGATAATAATTGACAAGAAGTATGAAGAGATTGAAGTATCGAAAGAAAAAGGAAGAAGAGGAATTGATAGTGAAAGTTGAAAGTGTCAGTACTGTCAGTGTCACAGTGTCAGTGTTGAGTGAGAAGTAACCTGAAAGTTGATGTTCTATGGTAACAAGTGCTAGTGAGAGTAGTGTGCGAAAAAAACTTTGAAAAAACCTTTCAAAACTCAAAGTAGTTCAAGTTCAAGAGCGTTTCAAAGGAAATTTTGGAATATTTTGTCGGGTAATTCGTGTAAATATTAATAGTGTGCATCAACAAACACATAAAAAAAGTCGAATCTACCAGGAAGTTATGAAAGTAAAACTGATGATCATTTTGATATGAGTATAAAGGGGCAGAATAAGAGCCCTAAAGTCCTGAACAACCTTGTAAGCAGAATCAAACAAGGAACCTACATTGGTGATCCAAAGGGCTATACGGACAGCATATAATCTCTCAAAAATAATTGTACACTCCAAGCACAGACAATGAAAAGTAGGTATGTAAAAATATTGCTGAGATATGCAATTTTAATTGAATGAGGAACCAGGAGATCCAAGTGAGTACTGAAATCATAAAGTATATTAATAAATAATTATTATAAAGTTTATTCAAAATGTTACATGATATAAATTAAAAGTATACATATTATTGGTATTGAATGCCTAGATACTTTTACCTTCCCAATTCTCATAGTTATTTTTCAGGTCATTAATGTTGAAGTATCAAGATGAATCCATATCTATTGCCTGAATCCAACCCAGTAACAGGTGTTCCACAGCCAAAATTATACAATCCAGAACCCATTACTGCAGCAATAGACTGCTCTTCTTGTATAGTACATCCACCTTGTAATTTCTCTTCTGCAACTCCAGGGCAGAAAAAACCCTTAGGATGCAAGACTATCTATGTAGGTGGAATGCCCAAAAATTCCACAGAGATGATAATCAAAGATATTTTCAAAAGATTTGGAAATATAACTGATGTGAGAATGAATACCACCTACTGGAATGTTAGCTTCGAAAATGAGAATTCTGTGGATGCTGCTTTGGCTTTTTCTGGGTCTAGGGTCATAATTGGAAACAGTGGGCATAATGATGATACTGGGCTCATCCATGTGGACTATTCCAAGGTGAAACACTATAATCATTTAGACTTTTGTCTAAATTATCAATTGGTGCCCCTTTTTTTTTTCATTGAACTGATGTTGGAGGCTCAAAATTATCAATTCTAATTATAGGCAGAAGATATGAAGGAGTGGGAAATGGTACAACAAAAGAATGAAATTGAAGTCACCAAAAAGGATAAATTGTCAAGTTCATTTTTACCATTAGCTATTTACTTCAATGAAACAGCATTGGTACAAGCTTCTGAGGATATGAAAAAGAATGATAAATTTCTCAATGCAATAAAGGTGAAATATTAGTTTCAACAGAACTTTGAATATTCCTTTAATATTTTTACACAAGTAGAATAAATGACATTTTTATTTTTGATTGACTGTTTTTGTTTTACTGAAAATATGCTTCCATAAATTCAGTTCTTCTAGTATTCTGTATGTATTCTGTTCATTATTGTATATAAAGATTCACCACTATCATTTCAATATTTGAGGATATCCTGTTTCTATTTTTAAATGTCTCTGATCAATTATATTTTTCATTCAGGTTCTGGAGATATGGTTTGCTAAAGGTAAATGCAATAAAAGCAACATTGATAGAATATATTCCATTCTTCAGATTGCGAATGAACATGTTGCCAGATTGAATGATGAAAGAAATGCATTTATTCAGACCATTGCATCACAGTGTGAGTACAAAACATCATTCTGATCCTTATTTAAATGTTGAAAAATCCATCTAGGTATAATGATATTATGTTATTGTTATGCATTTCCTTTTATTATCTTGAAATTCTGCATTCAAATGCAGAAATAAAAGAAAAAGAATAGTTGATAGTAGATGATACCATGTGCTAATCTATTTTAACTAATTAAAATGTCCATGTAATGAATTTTAAATTAATTTTTCGTAAATATCACTGTGTTCAATATTTATCAGCTTGGAAGAATTCAAAACAAACAATTTTTTCTCATATTTTATATCCTTATATTTTGTGATGGGTTTTTGTAGGTTGTGATATTGGTTGGTGTAATGTCTGTCACTTATGAGGTATAGGGTGAATATCAATAAAACACTTTTGTACTCGATGACACCTTACACTCCGCCCGACCGTCCGATCACAACTGCCTTCTTGTGCTGATGTTACCTAACGGCCCAACGTCACATTCGGTGATTTATTCAGATTAATCATTGACATGATAAGATATCGAACATTAGTCATTTATATGAAATACTACATCTCTTCCTTTTCATGAAAAATGGGAATTCTACAATACGAAATATATCTTATATTGTTTTCATCAACCTCTTAATAATGTACGTATGCATCGAATAAATAAACAAACCAATTTTTATAAATCTCAATCTAATACATATAACGATCATATATAAGGATATACTGATACCATATAATAGTCACAAGAACAGGTATTTAAGATTACGTATACAAAATACTAACTAAACTAAAACTATATTATTTTTAGATATTATTTTCTGTTTGCTCTTCAGTACTATTTCTATTTGCGATTTGCCATTCGCCTTCTACTTTTTTAAGATGAACAATATTTCTTCTATATTTTTCCTTTGTTATGTCATTACTTACTACTACATCTCCTCCATGTTTTTCTATTACTGTGTGGGGAGTTGGATCGAAATTAGCGGTCAATTTATTTTCTTTCGTGAGATGTTTTTTGTACACTTTTTCGCCACATACTAAATCATTTTCCTGTGCCTTCCTCTTGAGGTCACCGTATTCTTTTCCCTTCATCTTTTCATTTCTATCTTTATCCCTGAGCTCTCCGTTGGTTACTTTATGTTCTACATTTTCTAGATTTGGAATTTTGTCCCTAAACTTTCGCCCAAAGAAACATTGTGAAGGTGATATACCTGTACTAGAATGCGGGGTACTATTATACATAATTAAATAATCAAGCAATTCTTGTTTCCAGTCCCGCTTGAGCGATTGACTTATTTTCAGTCTTTTTAATATATCTCTATTTTGCCGCTCCACTTCCCCATTCTGTTGGGGCCAGTATGGGATAGTATGAAATAAAATAATGCCCCATTCCTTACAAAAATTTGTCATTTCAGTACCAACGAACTGTTTTCCATTATCTGATGTGATGGAAGTAGGGAATCCAACTCTAGAAAATATTTCGTGAAGTACTTTAAACGTGTCTGCAGCAGTTATTTTCCGCATTATCTTTATCTCCTTATATCGGCTGAAATAATCGACAATGACGAACAAATAATCGCCGCTGGGTAGAGGTCCCATAAAATCTACAGCAACGTCTACCCAAGGTTCTACTGGTAGTTCACGTCTTTTCATGGGATGGGGAGCATTAGGGGCTGATACAAGTGTACAACCCTTGCATGATTTAACTATTTTTTCAGCGTCGCTATCGATTTTGGGCCACCATACTTTCGATCGTAAACGGTTTTTCATGGCAACTATTCCGGGATGGCCTTCATGTGCTGCCATCAATACAGCTTCGCGTAATTTTAAAGGAATAACGATTTTATTTCCCCTGAGTAAAATTTCATCGCAAAAGCATAATTCGGAATCGAATATTCTATAGTTCTTAACGGAATCATCCCATCGATCTTTGTAAATACCCTGTTTCACATTCAAAATTTCGTCATCGTTCATGGAATATTTCTTTATTTCGTCTATAGAGACAGCTAAAGGACGTGAACTCTCCAGTATTCTGTGTACATATTCGTCATTGTCGAAAGTTTGTACAATCCTATTATTGACACACAACCGCGATAAGGGATCTGCTATATTACTTTTGCCAGGTCGATACACGATTTTGAATTTGAAAGATTGTAAGCGAAGTACCCAACGTTCAATTCTGGCACATGGTTTAGACTTTGGTCCAAATATCACCTCCAATGGCTTATGATCAGTGATTAATTCAAATTCTTTGCCATACAGATAAATATGGAAGTGTTCCACTGCCCAAACTAACGCTAATGCTTCCTTTTCAGTTTGGCAGTATCGCTTTTCGCAATCAGATAAACTTTTGTTGCCATAGGCTATGATTCGCGGACCATTTTTATTGATTTGTATCAAAACTGATCCTAGTCCGACAGGACTAGCATCAGCTATTACTTGTGTTTTGTCATTGGGATCATAGAATCCCAATGATTTTATATTTTGCAACGATGCTTTCAACTTATTGAAAGCATTCTCTTGGTCCGCTGACCACAGCCTATGGATATTCGCATGCTTGCCTAATTTTGAACGCAATATTGTCCTAAATGGTTCAGTAAGCGTAGCCAAGTTAGCTATCCATTTACCTACGTAGTTTATCAACCCGAGAAAGCTTTGAATTTCTTCCACCGTTCCAGGCCTTCTCATGGATTTGATACTGTCGATATATTCTTTCAAAGGTTCAACCCCCATTGAAGATAACATGTGTCCCAGAAATTTTATCACTTTTATTTTGAATACGCATTTGCTATCATTTAGTAATACATTATTTTCTTTAAGTACTGCAAGTGTCTTTTCGAGCCTCTTATCATGTTCAACTTCATTTTCTCCGTAGACCAGAATATCATCAATGAAATTAACTGATCCTTCACAAGGTAAAAGTATTCTCTCCATAGTCTTCTGAAATATCTCTGGGGCACATGTGATCCCAAACATTAGGCGTTTGTATCGAAATAAGCCTCGGTTACTAATGAAAGTGGTTATGAAACGAGAATTAGGTGATATTTCTATTTGATGGAAAGCATTTTTAATGTCTAGCCTGGAAAATATTTTAGCATTTCTGAATCTAGGAAGCATTGTGTCCATAGTGGGCAGTGGGTGATTTTCACGAATGATAGCCTTATTTGCACATCTCATATCGATGCAAATTCGGATATCACCGTTCTTTTTCAAAATTGGAACTATTGCTGAAACCCATCTCGATGGTTCATTTACAGGTTCAATTATATCCGATTCCACCAACTCTTTGAGTTTATCATCAATTTTCTTCTCGAGAGGAATGGGAACCCTTCTGTAAGGCTGACATACTGGTTTCACTGTTTCATCAATAGGTATGTCAACTACGACGTCTTTGAATTTGGGAAACTGATCGATTGAGTTTACTTCTACCCCTATTCTTAAAATTCCTAATGCTATCGCTGTAGATCTTCCCAAAAGATTTTTTGTTCCTTGTTTGATCACATAAAAAGTAGCGCACTCTGTAGACTTGCCTACAGAAATATTTGCCTTAAAAGAACCTAAAACCTCTAGCGGATCTCTACTAGCGTATGCCATAAACGTTTTGTCAGGTCTCCTTACTTGATCCCAAACTGTAATTTTGTTTTGTTTCAACATTTCCCAGGTTTTTTCATCCAAAAGATTACTTTTGCTTCCTGAATCAATTATCATTTCAATTTGAATACCCCCGATGGAACAGTGAATCAAGCAATCATCGTCGATATGAAATACATAATCTACACTTTCTTCGTGTTTAACTTTACTGAATTGTTTCCTTCTCTTCGGAGGTGGACCCCTCTCTGTTTGGGGACCCCTTTTATTTCGTCCCGATCTACAACACTTCCCAAAATGTCCCATTATGCCACATTTCAAACACCTCTTATTTTTTGCTGGGCAACTTTCGTCATGCGGCTTATGACCTTCGTAACCACATCTAGAACATGGATGATTAGTAAAATTACCAGGGTTTTTGACACTTTGAATTTTGTTAACTGTTTGAAAGACCCCTTTGTTTTTTCCTTCAAATTCGTCCAACTCCCTGTTAACGGTTTCTAAAGCGTTAGCTTCTAACATTATTTTATCAAGTTTTACATCTTCCCCTAGACTAAGAATTTTTTTTCGCAATTCGTTAGAATAACACTTTTCAACAATTTGATCTATTAAATGTTCTTCTAAATTTGTAAATTTACATTTGTTCGCTTGAATTCTAAGTCTTACTAGAAATTTGTCAAATTTCTCATCTTGTTCTTGCCTTATTTGTCTGAAAATGTATCTTTCGTAAAGACTGCTCTGTTTTGGACAAAAATATTCATTCAATTTCTGAATAGCCACTGCGAATACGTCAACTTCCTCCGAACCCTCAATGTGTGCACCTGGTATATTGTAATATATTTCTTGGAGGCCCATGCCTCCAGCATGTAGAAGAGTTGCCCTTTTTTGTTGAGGTTGTTGTATATTCGATGCCAGAGCAAAAATTTCGAATGCCCTTTTCCATTTTTCCCACCTTTGACCCACTGAGCTCGGATCTCCTTCACAATCGAAATTTTCTAGTGCTGGTATGTTCGCCATATCACCGTATGGTCTCCTGTGTAAACAGGTTCATTCAAAATTATCATTGAGTTATCGCTGCTTATTAATTTGAGAGAAATGTCCTGTGTCAGGATGACTATTGAAACACGAATGATTTGAATTAATATCTATTTATCCACACTCAAACAGGGTATCGAATGCAACTGTGTCACTTCTGCTATCTGACTCACATCCTGTAACAGTTACATTTATATAACTCTGACTAATATCTTTCGATATATTCGAATATTGTACTATACAGGATGGTTCAAGAAGAGTGACCATTATGATAGCTGGTAATGATGATAGTAATACTAATATAATTGATTTGAAATCTAAAAACTAATCAATCACTAGCCAATCAAATTTACCAAAATTATTTTACTCTAACACCTGTCAGAATCCGT